TTAATGTATGCAAGGGAGAACTATGTGCAGAGCATGTAAGAATAATGTGTACAATAACAGAATCATTTTGCATTTTAAAGAAGTATTGTATAGTAATCCCTCATTTACTACAAAAATTAGTTCACATCAGGTATAAGAAATGGGAGTAAGTCATCAGAGTGAAAGCTGCAGAATGAAGTTTGCAGTCACATAGCTGCATAAAATAAATAACATTTTTAATGGGAAGGTTTGATCTCTCAAAAATTGTCTATTCTGTTCATTCCTGTGAAGCACCTGATGTTGGCTCCTGTCGGAAGACAGAATACTGAGCTAAATGGACCACTGATCTGACCCAGTCTGGCCATTCTGATGTTCTTACGTTTCATTATGCAAGTTTTAAATCTTTAAGATAATGTCCACATATAAGGTAACAAATAAATGTAGGAGACAGCGGGGTTACATACAATTGATGAAAACATCGTGAGCAGAAATATGTATTCTAACACTATTCAGCTTTGCTAAACTTATTAATTCTTGAGTTAAATGAAAATAAGGCAGAGTACTTTTAATGCAATAGTGGTAGGGAAGTAGTTTACAAACAAGCGTTGGAGATTGAAAAGTATATTAGGGAGAGCAAAATTGTGTATGCAGAAGATATGCCAGAAACTAAGTGTCACTTATAGTGTTATAGCTGTTGTGATAAAAAAAAGTTGGAAAGTGTTTAAGTGTTAACAATAGGTTTCTGTAAAAGCTGAAAAAGTTGGCAAATTACATTAAATATAAACTGTAAAGATTAAAAACACTGTTTAAATTCCCAGATTACTAATGTGGAACAAGTACAGTGTATTTAATGAACTAAGCCACTTGCATAAATACCATTGCTGTCTTACTGGATGAATTCAGAACTGCTCAAATAAATGCCATAGTTCCCATGCTGCTAACAGCTAATGAAGGTCCTCATTTAGCTTAAGTTGTAGGGATATGAGCTTTTGGAGCAGGAGGATCTGAATTCTGTCCTCACTCTCATTACTGAGTTTCAGGTGGTCCCAAAAGGCAATGTCATGATAACCATGAAGTCCTAGGTTTTGTTACATTTGCTTTTATAAAAGAAAATAGTTCAAGAGCATTCTGGTTTGTATATCCTACACTAAACCTAGGGATGCTGTCCCTTCTGCAGTAGTTGGTGATCTCCCAGGCATTTCCTGTGGTATAGGGAGAGCTGTTTTAGGTAACTAGGATGTTCTCAGTCACTGTAGGACAGGAGGGCAATAATTTTTAATGGGGGGGCATTCCAAGATGTAGGTAAGTGGTCAAGGGCTGCACTTTCCCATGGAGTGGATGTGGGATCTGGGATGGACGTTGTGTGCAGAAGGGAATTCAAGATAAGGGACTGATGTGCAGGAGCGAGTATGGGGTCTGAGAGGGAGTTTGGGTGAAGGAGGGGGTTGTGACCTGGGCAGGTGATTGGGGTGCATGGTCTAGAAGGGGATATGAGTGTAGAAGAGTATTCTGACCTGGGGGAGGGGTGCAGAAGAGGGTACAGTGCAGAGTTGAGGGGTGGCTATGGGTGCAGGAGAGGATTCTGGATTGGGGGAGGAGTGTAGAAGGGGGTGCAGGGTCTGGGAAGGAGTTCTGACCGAGGGCAGGAGGGAAGTGGGAATGCAGAGGGTTTGGGTGGTGACCTGGGACAAGGAGTTGGGGTGCAGGAGGGACTGAGGTGCTGGGTGAAGGTTATGGCCAGGAGGCGCTTCCTAAGCAGCTCCCGATCAGCAGCCCAGCAGGACCCTCAGGCAGGCTTCCTGCCTGCTGCAGCCCCAGGCTGTTTGAACTGGTCAACTGCAGGGGCCATGGGCCTCTTCTGGGGGAGAGAGGAGACTTTGTGCGCTGCCCCTGCCCTCACCACAGCCATCACAGTTCACAACTGGAACTGACTGTGATGATTGTGCTGGAGGCAGGGGCAGGACACAAATTCTCTCCAACCAAAAGGGGTGTATGGCATCTAAGCACTGCTGTGAGTGGCCTGGGGCTTTAGCAGGCAGGGAGCCTGCCTGAAGATCCTGGCAGGCCACAGACCAGATCCATCCTGTGGGCTGTATTTTGCCCGCTCCTACTATCCAATAAAATGTGGAATCCTGAAATCAGGTCTTGGAAGGTAAACAAAAAAGGAAATGATCTTCAGTTCAGCAAGGCACCAGATTAGGAGCGTGATCTGCGATCTGCCTAAGCAAGTCACTTCCCCTCTCTGTACCTCATCTGTACAATGGGGATTCCGAGACTTTTTGTAATGTGATTTGTGCAGTCTGGAGAAAGGCTCCCTACACAGCTGCTAAGTGTTATTGTGCCAGGCACATTTAGTTAGCAAGCTGAAACTTTGTGGTTCTTCTTTAAATAGGATTTCCCTAACAGGCTTCTATTATGGTAGAATGCTGTTCATGTGCTAAGGCAGAGCAGCAGAGCTGTATTTGTGTGACAGCACAGTTTACCACTGTCACAGTTTCCCCAATGAAACACACACAGACCAGTTGTGAGTCCAAATCTAAATCCACAGTTGACTCTTTAATATGTCTACAAAAAACCAAACACCCCAGTGAGGTATTCTAAGATGATCTGAAAGCATTTTGCTTTTAGGAAAACAAAACTTCAGATTCTAGATCCATAACTAGATCTATCTTGTAACACTCGACGTCACATATATATTCCACATCACTCACATTAAATAAGCAATCATGCAGCTTTTGCACTCCACAGTTAGTACGTTTAGCATTTCTAAACGATTCATGTCTTATAATGTCAGACATAACAATCCTACATATGCAGAGCATATTCACAGCTATTTGTCCCTTCTTTGTGCGGCCCCAAAGGCCAGGGTTTTCATTTCAGAATGAGAATTAGCAATAAGGAATTCAGTCCATATGTAGCCGGAACCCAAGTGGTTTTGAATTCGGAATCATTATTTTCAAACAAGTGAACAAGGAAGGGAGCTTGTTTTGCTTTCTCAGCAGTGAATTATACTTGCTATTGTGCTTGGCTTTTCTCTTTGAAAGGGGATTTTGATGTCAGAACAATGAGTCAAATACAGGTTCAGGTGAACCTCCCGTGGAAGTCTGTCTGCCACATTCAGGGTTTGGTGTGTTAGGGGCCAGAAAATCATGCCAGTTGCAAGAGAGAGTAACTTGTGCTGATTTAGCATAAAGCATTTTGGGCTAGATTGTGATCTTAGTTATCCAGAGGTAAAGCTAGGGCTGTTTGAGTGAAGTCAGTGGAGTTAGCCTGGGGCTTCGCCTAGACTGGCATGATTTTCCGCAAATGCTTTTAACGGAAAAGTTTTTCCGTTAAAAGCATTTGCGGAAAAGAGCGTCTAGATTGGCATGGATGCTTTTCCGCAAAAGCACTTTTTCCGGAAAAGCGTCCGTGCCAATCTAGACACGCTTTTCCGCAAAAAAGCCCCGATCGCCATTTTTGTGATTAGAGCTTTTTTGAGGAAAACAAATCTGAGCTACTGGTCTACACTGGCCCTTTTGCACAAAATTTTTGCGCAAAAGGACTTTTGCCCGAACGGGAGCAGCATAATATTTCCGGAAAAGCACTGACAATCTTACATGAGATCGTCAGTGCTTTTGCGGAAAAAATCCAGGGGGCAAGTGTAGACAGCTGGCAAGTTTTTCCGCAAAATCATCTGCTTTTGCGGAAAAACTTGCCAGTCTAGACACAGCCTGGGTGTACAAACCATAACAGAGACCTCACCAAGCCCTCAGGGTACGTCTACATAGCACGGCTAAAGCTGAAATAAGCTATGCAACTTGAGCTATGTCAACTGTATAATTTAAGTCAAAATAGCTTATTTCAGCTTTTGGCACTGTCTACACAGCAGAAAGTCCAAATCTTCCTCCGACTTCCCTTACTCCTTGTACAATGAGGGTTACAGAAGTTGGAGTAAGAAGTCCTCCAGCTCGACATTAATTTGACATTATGTTGAAATAACAGCTAGTAGTGTAGACGCAGAGTATGTTATTTTGGAATAACTCAATTATTCCAAAATAGCACTGCTGTGTGGACATAGCCTATCTTATGCTTTCCTAGGAGTTGTTTCTCCCGTTATGTGCCACATTCCTGGGCTCCTTCAGCATGTCAATTACTCTAGTTTTGTATACCTACCTACATTTTGATGCAAATTACATTCCTCTAGGACTTGCCATTATTTTCTGGCCAATTTATATCTAATATCAAACTTATCTCACTGTTTGGCTTTGAATACTGTAAAAAAAAATGACTATTTACACACATATCCAGGTACCCTCCACACCTGGCTGCCCCAGGTTTGGCCCCACTTTAGGAGGGAGGAGGGAGTGCTTTTGGGGAGGAGGGGCAAACCCTTTCTCCAACAAGATCTCCTTGATAACAAGCAAAGCAGCTGGAAAATCCTGAAGCACGATAGGAGGGAAGTAGATTTAGGTTTCAATATGACCGAACAGAGTTCCAACCAGTGGTTCATCTCATAGCTACAGGGGCTCCCAGGCCCAGCAATGGAAGCGGCTCCACTTTGTGGAATGCTCTCAGGAGCTGTAACAATGAAAAGGAGGCTGAAGACCTGGTGCTGGGAATTATTGCACTTCCAAAAGCAGCGGTTCTCTCTGGTCTGTTGTGCCCTTGGCTCAGGCTGAGCCACATCTGCAATGGCGAAACTGGCCTTTCAGCAGATAGTGCAGGTACGGAAGAAGAAGCCACTTCGGGGCATAACAATGGTCTAATCATAGGGTAGTGGGGAGCACAACAGAGGTCGTATATATGGTGGCCAAGCTAGCCTCGGGGAGGGGCTAGATGGCCTCTTGTGGTCCTGCCCTGTCCTACATCTTTGTGATTCTATAACACCCAGGCTCCTGCTCAGCTTAAAATGTTGTGTATATCTCAGCCATGTTTAAGGGACATCCAGCTTCCTGGACATCCAGGAAGACACTTGCTGCCTTCAGTTGGGGTTAGAGCCTGCCCATTATTAAATCATGGGCAGTCCAGGCTTTTAATGAGAAGTGCACTGCTGCTATGGCAGGGGGACCTGGCCCACAGAAGGGGGATTATGTGCTCCAAACTGTGTAGTGAGCTTTGGCCAGTGTGTACAACTCTTAGGGAGAGAAGCAGGGGAGCAATTTAAACAGTGACAGCAGCTCTTCTCTTCCTTGTCTCTTTAGTTGGTTTGGTCAGTCACGGTAAAGCCAAACAGCAGTCTCATGTCCTTGTGTGTGCATCATGGGACTACGGCCCTGATGACATACACACTGAATCCGCTTGCTGGTCTCGTATTGCTTTCTCTGGTCGAACACACACTGCTAGACGCTGGAGGACATGGCCCTAGAGCAGCGGTTCTCACTTTTTGGCTAGTGGCCCACCTCACTCAATGCACACCGTTCTGCAGACCGCCAGCCAACCATTCATGATGACAGAATGGGTGCAGAAGTGGGCTGAGGGTATGGAGTCTGGGCAGGAGGGTAGGTGTGTGTGTATGGTCTTGGTGGGAGGAGGTGTATGAGGAGGATGAGGGTTAGGAGGAAGATCAGGGATGCTTACCTGGCTTTTACCCTCTGCTGTTCCCAGGCACCATCCCCCCCACTGCTCCCATTGGCCATGATTCCAGCCAATGGGAGCAGCAGAGAAAACCTCCAGTCAAGTGGTTTCCTGTGCTGACATTCCCCCAGCTGGAGGGAGGGGAGTGGCAGTGCACAGAGTTGCTTCCTCCCCCACAAGCTGGATCTGGCCCATAAGGCTCAGGGCTCCACCTAGTAAGAAGCCAGCTCTGGCACTCCAACAACACACCCTGCTGCAGGGGTGGGGTTTGAGCTTTGAATCCACAGCCCACTTGCAAGATGGTCATGGACCACTAGTAGTCCATGGACCACACTTTGAGAATCACAGCTCTAGTGGTTAGAGCAACAGGTGCCATGTTGGCACAAAAGCTGGGCACTATCTTTGTCTCTATCACATGCCATTGAGATGCCAGAAGTCTGGGTACATACTCATGATTCTTACATGGTTGAAGGCCTGGTGGTGCCTGGTGCAGATGGAGCCAATCACAGATGATGGCATGATAGCTCAGTGGTTCCACTGTGCTCTCAGGTTTATGCTGACATACCTCTCTTCGGCCAGGACGGCCACAGGTGTGAAGGTGCGTAGGGCACAGGAGCCCTGTGTAGGGGAGAAAGGGGTCTTTCCTTCAGCAGAGGAGGAATGAGGGACTTTGGAATGTACTGACACTGCTCTCAGATCAGTCACTGCAGTGCAACATGGGATCACAGCCCGTGAGAGAAACTGCTTGGCCTCAGGGTTTTAGAAAGAATCAGGCTAAAGCAATTGAAACCCATTTGGCCAAGTTCACCCATTAAAGCCATTGGGATTCCACCAAGGAGGAGTTCTGGCCATTGTAGACCAGGAATAACCATTAGAGCTATATTCCAGATGGTGCCCCCCAGTCTCCTAGCCAGGCCTAGAGAAAGGCTTTAATATGATTATGGCTGGTTGTTGCTGGGTGGACAGACAGTGCCAGCCTGAGCCCCTTTAAAACCAGTTCATCTGTTGTGATTTAATTGCCCCATGAACAAGGCCACTAGGGCAGGCCTAGGCAAAATATGGCCCACAAAGCCACTGGATCTGGCCCGTGGACACTGAGGGGAGCCCCAGTCGGGGTCCCCGCTTGCCTTGTCCCACCTGCACGCCACACAGAAATGTGACTGCTGGGCAGTTTCACTTTAAGAACAGAGCCCGATGGGAAGGGGGTAAAGCTTTAGGAGCTGCTCCCACTCCCAGCACAATCTCATTGGCTTGGTTCGGTCCTCCCCCCCACTCCCAGCATAATCTGGCAGCTCCTATTGGCCAGTTTCTGGCCAATGGGAGCTGCCTGTTTGCAGGACAGGTAGTCCATGAAGTATCCCTTCTTCCAGGTTTGTAGTATTCAGAGCCACACATGACCCCTGCAGCCAGTGCGGAGGCATGGAAGGCAGGGACCCTGGCTGAGGAACCAGCTGGGCTGCTGGCCGGGAATTGCTCAGGTTAGCACTTCTCATCCAAAGTCTGCCTCTGGCACCCCAGTCCCTCCTTCTCCACCCCTCTGCCCCCCCACTCCTGCTCCCCTACTCCACATACCCAAATCCTCTGCCCCCCTCCTGCACCCATACCCCCTCCCAGATCCGACACCCCAATCCCCTGCCCTAGATCACAGTCCCCTTCTTCCCTAGCTTACAACCTGCACCCCCTCCTGTACCCCAATTCCCTGCCCTATGTCACAATCCAACCCCCTGCACCCTAGTTCAGTGCCCCAGGTCACAACTGTCTCCTTCACCCAAACTCCCTCCCTTACTCCAAGCTCTCTTCTGCACCCAACCTCCATCCGAGACCCTGCACCTTCTCCTTTAATAGCATGGACGAGTGCGGCCCTCGACCACTTTCCAGATTCTTGGAGTGGTTCCCCATAAAAAATTATTGCCCTCCCCTGCACTAGGGAATCAGTAGAACTTCTCCACCCAGCTTCCAGACCTGGCTGGCCCGTGGAAGCCTTGAGCCCTTTCAAGTCTTTCAAACTGTGCTGCAACAGACCCACACGGGTTTGTGAAGGATTATACTCAGCTCTTCCTACCTGCTTAAAGGATCCAGGAGTCCAGACCAGCTTGTACACCATGTAGAAAGGGATACAGATGAAGGACGACGCTCCTATGAAGTACCCCACGGAGATACTCCACTCAGGGTAGTGATAGTCAAACAGCACGAGAGGTGGCTGGTCCAGGAGAGAGCTGACTATTATAAACTATTAACAGAGAACACAACCAATGTCAGGGGAGCCCATTCAGGAAGCAGCGTGAAAAGTCACTTGCTTCAGAAGCACACCTCAGCAAGTGTCAGTGGATTCATGCCAGGGATGAATCAGGCCTGGTGTTCCTTGTGATGAGAGAAGTGGTTAGTTAGGGTATGTCTACACTACCCCGCTAGTTCGAACTAGGAGGGTAATGTAGGCATACCGCACTTGCAAATGAAGCCCGGGATTTGAATTTCCCGGGCTTCATTTGCATAAGCCGGCCGGCGCCATTTTTAAATGCCGGCTTGTTCGAACCCCGTGCCGCGCGGCTACACGCGGCACGGGCT